CAATGATGTCTAAACAATCTTAGTCTAAACCTTATCGTGAGGACATCGAGGTTTAAAATAAGTTACACTTCAGGAAAACATGCGGAAAGAGGCAAGAATAAAAAGAAACACGTACTAAAGCTTAGTTAGATACAACTTTTTATTTCATTTTTATTATTGTTGTACCGTTTTTAAATTTCTTGAATTTTATCTGTGACAATAAAATAAATAAATCATTAAGTATAATGGTGTCATTGAAAAAAAATTTCGAAGAATTGTCTAGATTAAACCAGTTTAGCAACAAGCGTGGTATTAATCTATTTTCTATGTCTACATAATATGAAAAAACAATATGAAGTAGTAACATTTTCATATTGTAATTTTTTTCATTTTTCACTGCGATGGCAGTTTTTAGTCTATATAGAATTATTTTAATCTTATCTGCAACATTGTAGGTATAGTAGCAGTTCTATTATATTTTTAGACATACTATAGAAGCTAGGGAATACAAGTACAGCCATGAAAAAAACACTTCTTCTTAAAAGTAACAATATCTCAATGAAAAGAATATCAGAAATTGAGAACAAAATCCATTCGTCTATTTTCGACGAAGGTTTTCAGCATACATGTTTTTGATATACATTCGTTGAAGTAATCTAACACCAGTTCGCAGATTTCCAAGAAAAAGTTACGAGTTTCTCTCGATTGGGAATACTAACACTGCAAATACAAGTATCGTGGATTTCAAATACCTTTTCAACCAATGTATTCGTTATTTTACTTCTGCGAAAAACTTTTGATAAAATAATGTTATCACAAAAATCAAATCTGACTTTTGATTTTGGATAAGGCTAAGTGTAGGTGGTAGGTACATGTGTCTATAGTTAATATCGTTGTGTTACACATTATGTGCATATTGTCCATAAGTGGGTACTTAATCAAAAATAAATTATAGGTACCGCCTGTTCAATACAAATAAAATATTAAAAAAGAATCCCACTTTCATTAATTGATTTTATGACCAACTTAATTTTAGTATTTTTCCAGCAAAGTAAGAAATAAGCATACGCTTTTTGACGCTAAAACAACGTGACAAAAGACTGTCGTTTTTGACAGTTCGGAAATAATATTGAATGTGTCAAGTTAGCAAGTACTAATTTTGAAAATAGATTTAAATAACTTTCAGACTACTTTCTACTTTCAGACCTATCTAATATATAGTCAGAATTTTAATTAGATTCCAGATTTGACAATAGCTACTGCATAGCATACTGCAAGCATTTTGTGAAATAATGATACCATGTGATATGATGATGTGTGAGATGATGATGAACACAAAAATCAATAAACAATCAGTGTGTGTGTTTTATAATAAATGTTACAGAAAGTGACAGGATAGCGATAGCCATGACGGCGACAATTTATAAAATAACTTATTACCATAATACATCTATCTGTTTTATTTGTCATGTTCCTTCATGATTGCATTTTTTATTTATTTTACACACAATTATAAAAGAAAAGTCTCAGATCGTTAATTATTCGTCAAAACTAATTTATCGGTTCAGAAATATTTAATTTCCAAAAATACTTAGTATACGAGAATAAAATTATAAACATGAAGAATCGATCCAGAAATATTGCATTTCCATATCGAATAATTTCGCAACGTCCCTATTTAGTACTTGTCATAACGTTGCAACACTGAAATTGTCAAATCTGTGCCTTTAGCCAAACGCCACTTTAGCGCTTGTCTACAGAGAGAGTAGAAATCAAAATGTATGGGGATGACACTGACAAATGTCAAAATATACGTCAATTCCATATAATTTGGTTTTCTATTCTACATGTAGACAAGCGGTAAATGGCATTTGGCTACAGCTGCTGGAATCGAATTAAAATTCCGAGTATAGTCCATTCATTTGTGCATCAGAAAAAAGAGGTTCCTACAAGCTCCTACTTTTAGGAACCTCTTTTATATATTTTATTTAAATAGTTCTAACTATTTTCATCTTTAATAATTTCAATATAAAGAGTCATCTAAACTTATATTTTGATAATTATTTCGTAAGTACTAAACATAAGACTTTAATTACAATCAATAAAATTTTAATGGTTTATCAACAAGATTCTTCTGTATAAATTACATAAATTATACCCAATACAAGGCAATACTAATATTATTGTTAACATACATGCAAATACAAATCATTAGATTTTGTAGTATTAGGAAAAACGTTACACGTACTGTCAGCCCCTCCTGCATCTTCTAGGCTTTTGTCATGGGCACTTGTATTGTCTATAAGAATTGATATAAGTAAGTAAAAAAAAAAAAATATATAGATGCGAAATATCTTAGTAAGAACTAACTTTGACACTGGCAGTATAATCGACAACACTGTATATAAGAGACGCGAAGTCATTATGGAAAAAAAAACAAAAAGTAAAAACTGTCAAAGCACAAGATACGTGCTTGTTCAGTAATTTGGTAGTTTTCCGGGAATGTGGAAGATTTGCAGTATTTGCCCGGATTATTGGCAATGCGATTTTGCATTTATTTATACATACGACATATCGACACATAAAGGATTACGTTATTAAAGAACGCGCCGCATCCTCCACGTGGTATAGTAATCCTCCTAAGTGCTCACTGAGATGTACTTTCCAGTGCTCTGGCGCCAAATCTACTTATTTTATAGAGAAAGCCTAGACATAAATTGTAGAGAAAGTAAAAACCTAGTTTAATTTTGTACACAAAGTTTTTCTCGTAAAATACATTGGAAAACAAATATTGTAAAAAAATATTTTTAGCTGCCATTTTTTCCAGATTGTAAAATGTAAATCGGAAAAAACACATTAAAATCTACAAAATTGGCAATTTTCCACACTCTCGGAAAACTCACCTCCATATTTTCGTCTTCATGATCGAAATAGAAACTTTCTTTAAATTATTTTTCACTATTTTTACAAAGTGTACCCCAAAAAGAAGCGTTTTTGACTTTTGTGTAATGCTATTGTGAATAGACTCGAAGTCAATAAAATATGCCACATATGACATGTACCTATATAAACTTCTGTTATAAAAATAATAATCAGAATCGAAAGATCTGAGTATTTCTTATGTTTGTTCTAATTGTGAGTTCACCTTAAATAGATTTCTGTTCATGGGAAATTTGTATTTATGTTTAATAATTTAAACTTAGGCTAATACCTAACTATTCTCTTGAGTTAGTATGTGTTAGCCTTTAATTGATTGTTACACTAGCAAATGCATATTGTATCTAAACCGATTTGTTGTAATATGATGCGTAAACAGTCGTTAGTTGACCTTAATAAATAAAGATCCTCTTCCTTATAGTTATACGACACAATATATATGATATTCTACTGTCATTTGTGAGATAATTATAACTTTTATAAAAAGTGTGTGACGTTTATGTGTAGTATTTAAGTAATTTAAATAAAATACACACAGCTGTGTTTGTAGGAACATATGATGAGTACGTAGGCAAATTAGTTGATATACTTTCTATCAACTTTATTGAACGTATTTTGGATATTGAACTGGTAAGACACTAGATTTTCTCCATATAATAACTTGTAAAGAACATTAGCAGAAGTAAACTTCGTTTCGACGGGGCAAATCATCCGATAACTTCTTACGCCCTGGTTGAGGTGAGAGGGAGAGTCAGACTCTTACAAAAACCGCCCCATTCCTACTCTTCACTGTAGCGGAATGCCCTGCGTGGGCTGAGCACCGCTGTGCCCTCAGGGACCTCTTGCGTCCGGGCCTAGTACAGGTCATGGTGCGGAGCGAGGGGGACTGGGATGCCATCTCCTCCTTTTGCGAAGGAGTTATGCTAGCTAAGGAGGAGGCGGGACGCGTGAGGCAGCAAAGCGCTGTCTCCTCGCAACCCAGCCATCGCGAAGGACACACCGGGCGTCGGGGACCGCGGGACGATCTCCGGCCACCGTAAGCGCGGGCCTACGGACGGCGAGCATGGGTGGCTCCCCGTCCGACCAGAAACAGACCCCAGCGTACGGCGCGTCGCGTTCCGCGCGCGCCTCAAAGTGCCATCAGACCACCACAGATGGGGCCCAATAGGGCCGATGCCGATTCGGAGTCGCGGAGTACGGGTTACTGGGGCTCCGGCTCGACGTGCAGGAGAAAGAACGGGGTGATTTTTAGTCAGTACTGACAATTCCTCCCGCCTCACCCAGGCAGGAGCAGTCATTCGATGATTTCCCCTTTAAAAAAAAAACGGAGTCCCGAGTAACGTTAAACACTATTTATTTATGACTAAGACAGCCTACTAGAAAACAATATTGTCGGTAAAATAAAATAAACAAAAAAAAAGAAAAACAGTAGGTACTTTTGTGCTAATTTTGAGATTGCTGTTTATATTTTGTTTTTGAGAGTACAAAAGAAAGTGGCCACTCTCTTTTCTCAATTGTCGTGTAATACACTAATAGAAGTATTACGTCTCAACAATGCCTTTGTAGTCCTATTAGAAACTTCTTATGGAGTTTAATTAATATTGCGTATAATAGAAACGAAGAATTTACAACTTTACTTTATTAAGATACCATCTTACGTAGTCTAATAACTTTTCTTATAATCTCAAAATAAGGTAAGCAATTGACAAAAATGCAATATTACAGGCAAGTCATTGTGTTACTAAGGAGTGTAGGCGATTATCAACACAAGAATACACACAAGACAAACAAGATCCCTCCCCCCTCGCAATATTTAATCTATATCTATGTAGCTACTAAACGTATAAAGCTGAAGATTTAGTTTGTTTGAACACGTTCGCGTTAATCTTCGAAATTAATGGTAGGTCGAATTGCAAAATTATTTTTTGGGTAGTTCATTGATTGAAAAATACTATATACAGGCTAAAACATCACGCTACGGTCAACAGGAGCCGAGCACAGCGATAAACCGCGCGGAAGTGGCTAGTTATTTAATGATTTATAAATAAATACTTGTGAAAGTAAATAAGAATTAAAGTCCTTACCTGTCCAGTAACAGTAAACAGCAATGCTAGGATTATCCGCAGTGGTAATCGCGCCCTGTACGCTCGGTGTGACCACAGCCTATGAACGCCCGCGGTGATTCCAAACCCAGACGTGTATATCGTGCCTAAAGCTGAAACAGTGTTACATTTTATTAAAGTAAATGTTACGTTAAATATTATAATGTATACTAATGTGCTTATAATCGATAGCTACTAAAACAATTATTGAACCTATGACCGACAAAATTATTAGAACAATTCGAATTTTGGTTTGTCATAATTATTGTATAACGTATCCTTTTACAATGACAATAATATCCGTAATTAAACTAAATGTTTCAACGACTCTAATCATGAATTATTGAAATTGCTTTTAATTTCGAATTATATTCCCATAATTCAGTATACTCTGGGCAGTAAAGGGCTATGGTCTACTTACATTTGCTACGACCACCTCATTATAATTTTAAGTTATAAGTTAATCTATTCTTCTACGTATTTCAACAGTATAAGTCGAAGATATTCCTAAAGAGGAACTGAAGCTCTAAGAGTACTTATCTACTCAAAACATTGTTAATTTTATTTTACCTTGTTAGAAACGTTCAGCCAAATTCTAAGATCCAAAGCCTCCAGCTTACCAACTTTGAACAAGGTTTAATGACAAGAAATACTTTAAGTCCAGCAGGTATATATGTAAAGAATTAGTTAAACTTTTCAGATTCTTGAATATTACCTATATCAAATTATAATTAAATCTCAAATATAATTTCAACTTAAATTCAAATTAAACTCAGTACTCAATACGGTTTTATTAAACGTCGTTGTATGTGCACTTGAGTGTTGAGTGGTACCACGGCCTCATAGAACCCCCCCCCCTTCCTCGAGTCCCCAAAAGGCCGGTAAAGCACTTGTAACGCCTCTGGTGTTTCAGGTGTCCATGGGCGACACCGATTCCTTACCATCAGGTGATCTGTCTGCTCGTATAAAAAAAACTGACGCCGGTGTCACGTTAATGAAGGACATATTTATTTGGTGCTTGGGAGAAGGCACAGGATGCTATTTGGTGTCTTTTGTGACGTCTCAAAAGCGTTCGATTGCGTTGAACACGAGACACTTTTGCTGAAGTTAGATAACTAAAAGTGGGCTATCCGAGCAATACCGCTACCGAATAAAAGGTATCGCTTAGGCAGTAGTAAATCGCTAAGAGGATTGTTTAAAACGATAATAAATATCGTAACTCTGCCCTGTCAATACATACAAAATATAATGTACTAGTAGTCCCCTGCGACTTCACCCGCGTATAACAATGACTTTTAGTGAATAGCGGATTTTTTAATTAGTCTTTTCTGAGGTTAATCTCATCGGAATAGATTGAGTTATATTTTATTTTCATGATTTCAAAAAATAAACAATCCCACATGGATTTTACCCATACAGTAGGTATCCATTCCCGTGAGGTTTCAGTGATTAAAACTCCATTTGAATTGCTATCAAATAGGTACAGCAGTTGAAAACTTTCAGGCGTCATTTTCCGAGTATCAAACTATCGTCGTATCGGTTTCCGGAGGCCCATATATCTACCGTGATTTTCAAGAAAACTAAAATATAATATTTGTGACCAGCAAAACATCGGGCACCAATTCTTTTTATCTTTTGTAAACCTGTCCTCAATACTTTAAACGAGCGTAGTCCGTGAATAAAATGTATTCAGTTAATTGAATTCGTATTGTTTCTTTAAAATCTCTGATTCTGATGCAGGTAAATAATAGTATTTAACTATAATTAGTCCTTAGAAACTGTTTTCTATTGGCAGTCAAAGGCTTAAGCAATTTACGGAGATTTTGTAGAAGTTTGGTAGATAGTATTTTCATACATCGGGTAACATTATCGAAATTTTCAGACGGTTCCCTTTTTTCTTCTTTATTAGATTTATATCATATACATAGGCTTATGCCTATGTCATATCATTGATAATGCAGGATTTCATTTTTCAAAATCGGTCCGGTAATTTCGGAGGAGATTCAATTCAAACAAACAAACAAAAAATCAAATCTTTCCTCTTAGTGTAGATTTTACTATTATACTATTAGTGTATATATGTATGTAAGAAAAACTAGGCAATTGTTCGAAAAAGGAACCGATAGATACAATCTTAATACTAAAGACAAAAATAAGTTAGCTTTATCGCAATTCAGACTGTCATGGGGTTATGTGTTAAATATGCAATAATTAGGGTAAACTCGTTAGAGATGGCCATAGTTTTATCTAAGCAAAATAAAACTAAGAAGAATTGTTGGTACAATCAATGTTATATTCTTATCATAATTAACAGTAATTAGTCTTTTAAAAATCAACGACGAATATTTATTTTTATAATGCAAAAACATATTATAGAACAATAAAAAAAAATAGAATTGGCCATCTCTCCCAGGGCTTCAGGGTGAGTTGGCCGTAGCTGTACGGGATAGATGACCGGTACTTGACATCCTTTTTCCCTTTCCCTTGCCCTGAATTTTAGCATCTTTAGCTTCTTTTTTGTCTTCTGTCCACATTTGGAACACATATCATTAAACTTAGTACAGTTTTCATGTACCCATCTGTCACAAATAAGACACTGGAGCCAATCTTCCACAAGACGAGTCTTATAATAATTTTCTTCGCATCCAGCACAGTTATCTGCTTCGATTTCTTTATCTTCGTTCACTGTTTGAACACTGGTTCACTGAGATCAGAACTGCTTTCGCTAATATGCCTTTAATCATTATCTATAAGAACTTTTTCTAACAAATCAAAGTAAACACTGACCTCGACTCTGTTCATACCTTGACAACGGGCTATTGAAATTCCTTCAGGCTTTCTCAAAACAATATCTGGGTGTCTGCGTAAAAACATCTGCAGTCAATCATATCCAGCCTATTCCTCTGATTTATTGAATTTATGTTTGATGTTGAATTGCTCAGCAAACTGAAAGCCTAATCACTCTTATATCACTAATTTTCAAAGGGAATCCTTTTCCCTGCATTGTTTTATTATGATCACCAAGTTTTTATTCATTCTGATCTCCAAACATAGAGGTAGGTCTCATTACTCCCTTTTTAATCTTATTAGTCTTGTACCTTTCATCAAGTGTTTTATGAGGTATGTTGTAGACAATTGCTGCTCTATACACCGATATTTCTCAATTTTTTATGGAATTTATAGCAACTTTTAATGAATCTTCACTCCAACAGCCACGAATGGCTATGGCTTTTCTCTGATACTTATTTGGAATCTGTAACAAAATATAAGACGCATGAATATCACTTCAAATAACAAAAAATAATATGGCTATCTCACACTGAGTTGATGTGGCCATCTCTCCTTTTTGTATGGGTGAGATGGCCACTTCAAATTTTAGGTTTAGTTAAACATCAGCGGACGACATTCTGATGTTAGAATAGACGTTAACATTTCATAAATATAAAAAAACTAGGAAAACACTAAAAATTGTAATACAAAATAGTACTGCACGACAATATATGACTACACTACATAATTTTTGCCAAACCTTGTAAAATAAAACTTTATTTACTTACTTTTTTACATAAATACGCGCAGCAACGTCGTCGCACTTTGATCCTGAGCATGACTCGAGGCGTACTGATCGCAATGTAGCGCTATCTAGCTGTGCATGCCAAAAATAATTCGATTGGCCATCTCTCCCGTATGGCCATCTCTAACGAGTTTACCCTATGTGATTTTTTTTAAAGAGTAACGAATGGTGTTTCTTTCTCGTTCTTCTCCACTCGAATCTACTTTTGGAACAAGCACCTGACTTCACTTACATGACATACTGACAGACTATTATTTATTTTAAATTTATTGACGTTTCAAAAGTACTGAATTATGGTTTAATTGAAATAAATGCTTTTAAGTTTTGAGTTTTACTGAACACACAATTATTTTTACAATATTTAACATTTAAAATATTAATTCTGTGTCAGAGAGTTCGCTTGGCGTGGCTTCCCCCAAGATACTGTGAATTTTTGAATTTTTCATTTAATAAGGTGTAAAATTGTATTTAGATTTATATGATATATTTTTTCACTCTCACTTTTATGTTAGTATAGTTATGAGGATAGTAGGTCTTATTGGTGAGAGATCAGAAAAAGCTTATTCCAAAATAAAACGAATGCTCCAATTAGAGGAATACTACAAACCTTGTGCACGTGATCAGTAAACTTTTAAAGGGAAAATTGAAATGAGAAAAAAATATGCTGTATAACAAAATGTTTATGAAGAAGTGGTAGTTATTATGTTATTGTTTATAGTATGTACTGCAGTTATTTTAATTAATCAATCATTGATGTGATTAAATATTAAAAGAAAAATTACCTACTTATTATGATTATTATAAACTATGTACGTTCGATCCATGGTTATCTAGGTTGATATTTTTTTAACTTTTTCATAAAGCTTGTCTCGGTATAATGATTAGAAATGAAAGGTACCTTCTATTTTTGACTCATTATTTCAGGATGTCCTTCTATCATTTCTAAGAAACAGTAATTAAAGAAATAATGTATGCATAAAATGTACTTACCAAACAATAAAGTTAATAGCTTCACTTGGTTACTAATCATCAGGTACAATCCATAAATTGATACTAAATGCAAAAGTATTTGCACGGTTAGATCCGGCCATCTAATTTTTGCCTTAAAATCTATAGCTTCATATTTATTAATGTCAAAGTCTGCTTCACTATTCACTTTATCATTAGCACTGTTCCTCAACACTGTATTATTGTTTTCGTACTGTGGAGCTTCGTTTAATTTGTCAGCGTCGTATGTAAGAGGACTGATTTTCAGTCCTGATTGAATCTCATCGCCACACATTTGGACGTGTTTCTGCGCTGGAGCCATTCTGTAACAAAAATAAACGCTTATAGTACAACATTTTCCTTAGATGTATGTTCGTGAATGTGCCTACCACATAAGTCTGAATCGTATTTAGCAATAAAATATGTAGCGCTAAATTACCCAGAAAAGCTTAAGGGTGATAATGCCGTCTTGCCTCTTAAACGGCGGATGGTCGTTTATTTGAATCGCAAAGTATTTGTACACACGTTCTTATCAATTATTTGAGAGTTTTTGGATAAAAAGGTCTGTATAATATCTTCGTTATCATGCTATTGGTAAACACAGGTGTTCACCGAGACTTTGTTGACGATGACGTAATGTGTGCGCTCGTACTTTACACGAATCCAGTAGAATCATAAAGGTTGGTCACTTTTTATGACTCAACAGGAATGTCATCAAAGATTGTCTGGCAGGTGTTCAGTTTTAATAATATCTGTAACAGTCATCATTTCTGATAAGTTAAAGTACCATTATTTATTTATATACTAATTGATATGAGAAATAGACATAATACTATATAATAAATATATAAATGTAATACGATAACTACATATAGTTACATACTGAGTGTGTGGTCTTACATGTCATATACACATATCACCACAAGTGTGTGGTCCGTAATGAAAGGAAAAATATATCTAAAATGACAGGTAGTGTTCTAAACTGTCCCAGAGATTGAGTACGTCGCACTTCCACCGGCAGCGCATTCCACAACCGAGCCGCTTGTATTGTGGAGGACTTGTCATAGAAGCAAGTCGAGTCCTTACGAATTTCCGATGAACGCTTCAGATTTTCCGATGAACTTTAAAGCGGTTTTCCATAGTTTGGTCGAGCAACGTTTCGTCGAAAATCACTTCATCGAATTGCAGTTGCAATAAAGTTATTTCGTAGAAGTATTCCTTTGACCGAATAATTCATTCCTGAGGTTTCAGTGATTAAAACTGTTCTATTTCCTTTCCCGGGTTGCAACAATTATAGTGGAAGAATACTACCTATTTAGTGATGTCATGCTTCACTTAGAATTTATTTGAATCAATTAGAATCAAATGTTTGAGTCCTGGCGGGTCGCCATGAATTTCAACCCAATCGGTGTAAAACTGACAAAGTTTCATCTCCTATTTTACCCCATTAGGGGATGAGAATAGAGAATCTTAGAGGATGCCTACGTCATAACATCTACCTACCTGCATTCCAAATTTCAACCCGATCGGTTTAAAACTGACTAAGTTTCATACAAACTTTCATCCCTTATTGAACCCCCTTGTGGGTGGAAATTATGAAAATCCTTTGTTAGCGTATGCCTACGTCAGTAGGCATCCGCTAACAAAGGATTTATATATATCTGTATGCCTCAGTCCAATCCGTCTAGTGGTTTGGGCTGTGCCTTGATAGACCACTATGTCAGTCAGTCAGTCTGATATGATATAATTTGAAGGTGTAATTTGTATTATATGCATTTAGTTAGGTACAATAATCAACTTTTAATGCTTGGTCTTTTCTGCTTGATAGGTAGGTATTTCTTATATACTTAAGTGGAAACTATGAATAAATTAATAATGAAAAAGTTCCGAAGTAAATGCCATTTGGAGACTTTGATTTTGGCTATAGGTTTTATACTCAAAATACGGCATTTGAACTGATTCTTGGTTTAATCAACTTTTATGGACTTTTATGACCCTGGTATGAACTACAAATGAATTTTTATTAAAAGAAAAGTTTTTGCCACAAACAACGTTCTTATGACGACATATTCAACCGCTTCCCAACTACCTTTTAATCTAAAACTATTTTAATTATTAGCTAACTAAGAGCATATTTTACCTTGACAACTTTTTAATTTACCTGCGCCACATTATCCGAATATTTGGCATCTATATTTAATATTGGTATTTTATTACATGCAATAAGCGAGAAAACGTCGACTTTTTCGAAATGGAAATCGTCGGTTTTTCTGAATGATAGAATTACAATGTTATACAATACATAAGGTTTTTTTCAACTAATTATTTAATGGGGTGTTGCATTAGGTATAAATTATGTATATGGCCAGCAGTACGTTATGTCATTGTTTATACTATTATAAATTGAATTTCCTTTTTGAATGACCTTTGAGAAATAATTATTGTTACATAAAAATGCTTCATATTCCCAGAAAGGGAGTCTCATTTACCTCTATAATCTTATCATTTGTGCAACAGATTAAACATCTGTAAGTTAACAATATACATATACCTACAAGTGCATTATAAAGTGCACAAACAAAACATTCTGTAGTAATTTACTTAATCGGGCATTTAAGTGAAACGTAGAGCATTACATAATAAGATTATGTTCATCATGTAGTGACAGAAGGCTCCCCATGAAGCAAGCAAAGTCAGTCTTAAGAAATTTTTTGTAGAATATCATGTTCAGCAATCAAATTAGAGTTATTATGAATTTTAAGATTTCTATACTAAAGATCTCGATTTATTTGATAACAAAATTGTACGCCATCAAACATGACACACTCATTAGCAATTATGTTTATCTTATCTAAGTATGTAAGTAGATTTGAGGCAACCATCTGAATGTAGGTACAGATATAATCGTGTCATGCTATAGTACCTACAGTGAATAGGTCGTAAAGTAATGCATTTTAATTATGTACAATTACAATTGTTATTTTGCTTACTCCATAACGTAGCTATTGTTCCTCGTAGTTTTAATATGACTTTTATTTACAGGTATTTTAAAAGCATTCAATAATGTACAATAATACTATATTTGCCATGACTGCCTTATTGGCCGAATGGTTGCAAGTGCGACTGCCGGGCAAGGAGGAAATCCTGCACAGAGTAATAACATTTACAAGTAGGTAATTCAGTAAAAGATTTTTTAAATTTCAGAACAGGTAAGTTTTAATTTGGTCAGGAATTTTGTTGCAAATAAAAGGGGCCATACAGATCACACATTTTTTAGTAGGCTAGTTTTAAACACGCCTGCGGATAGTAGGCTCTGATATTGGATATTGTGATCTTAAAGCCGTACTACGCTTTCTGGTTGCAGTTACTGGCGTAAATGAACATCAGTTTGTAATTACATACATTGCTAGTTCTAGGATATAAAGACATGGACAACTTAATAATTACTGAAACTTAAATATAAGTACGCGCTGTCAGTTACTTTAAGGGTTTTGTTTTTGGTTTTTAAAAATGCTTTCCAGTTCGCTACAATATCCCCAAAATATTACCCCAAATCTCAGAATGGATACTACAAAACCTACTGATACGCAGCTGTATTTGTATCTTTATATATATCTTTCGCTTCCGGTTCCCTAATTCACTAGCTATCAATTAAAATTTCTATAAATTTTGCACTTTTCACTTTTTTATTTGGCCATTATAGTTGATATCCATGTCTACTGTTCAGTACAGTTCGTTGGTGAAAATGCATGATTTTAGTTTTGTCTAAATTAATTATTAAGTTATTATTGTCAAGCCACTTTATTAACACATTAAACGCCGTGGGGGTCACCGGTGACCGACGTTATTGGAGGATTGGCCTTCATCAGTTTTCTATTGGCAGTGAAAGGCTTAAACTATTGATTGAATTATTGATATCTGTAACATATACATCTTTATTGGTACATGAACCAAATGAAGTGATATCGTCTGCAAATAAGACCATACGGTTAAATATATTACGTGGCAGGTCATTAATATATCAGGAATAGAAAGGGTCCGAGGACGCTTCCTTGTCGAACACCTTAATTATTGGTTTGAAAGAGGATTGATTTGAGTTCCCTTCTTCTTTTGTTATCAAGGCTTCGTTCTCTTTTTGTAAACTACCAGAGAAATTCTCAGCAACTGTTTATCGAAACCAAAAACTAGAAATGTAACAAAGACCGAATTGTGAATTATAAAAAAATGTTTCTTCATATACTAGCATTTGCCCGCGACTTTTTACGCGCAATAGGTCCCAATTTTTTTTGTTCCCGTAAGAGTTTCAAAAAACTCTAGGTTAAATAGTGTCTGTCCGTTTCCTGGTTCGAAGTTTAGATACATAGATAGTAACTAACAAAGATCTTTTGTAATTTTTAAAACTCATTTTTTATGGGACATATACATATATATGGGATATATTTATGGGCAAACGAGCAGACTGCCCTTGGAATTTTAAGATTGTTTGGGATTCAGGGATTAGGGAGTTTGAGGAAGGAGGGGACGGGTAATTGAGCCTCCGATAAACTTACTCACACGTTAAAACATAACACTAGCGTTGTTGTATGTCCGTTTTCTGTGAGGCCGTGGTATTATTCCGGTTGTCCACCACAGATGGGGCCCAATACGGCCGATGCCGATTCGGAGTCGCGGAGAACCTAACGGGTAACCGGGGCTCCGACTCGACGTGCAGGAGAAGGAACGGGGTGGTTTTTAGTCAGTAAGAGTCTGACACTCCCTCCCGCCTCACCCAGGCGGGAGCAGTCATTCGATGATTTTCCCCCCTTAACAAAAAAAAAAATCATTCCGGTTGAGCCGGCCCATTCGTGCAGAAGCATGACTCTCCCACACTTATGATTTATGTATATCATAGATATATTCTTTATGGATGGGAAGATAGAGGTGCACTCTGCACATATTAATTGTAGATAACACCTATTATTATCTACCTTTACCTTGCTAGGTTGTATTTAACATAATTGTATGAATTTCGTAAAGTATTTTTATCAAATAAAAAATCCCGTGCTAAGCAATAGAATTTGTAACTAGTCGACAAACAAAGTATTAATTGGATGATAAATAAATTAGAACATTTGGTCATCAGAACGGACCTATATGAATAAATAAAATACATAGCATAAAATACAAATTGAATTTATAAAGGTCTTCAAATTCACAACTAGTCTGCTCATAACATATTTAGTGTATAATTTAATTATTATTTATTAGTTATCATTTTCCGTATTGATATTTTTAATTTCGAAATCTTGCATAATCATGATTTGCGTGTGTTGTATAAAATCAGTTTTTTTATGCTAATGTAGGAAACACGACTACAGTTACGTTAGGTTTTACCATTCGGACACACCCACATCACATGTATGTATAATCTGTTTGTATGTTTATTTATAAATTTAATATTTTTTCCAGTGAAAAGGCAGATTTACAGTTTACATATGCATGCACGCACACGCACATGGTAGTACTCTACACATGTACGGTCAAAGGTCAAAAGTCCACTGCCACCATAAG